TAAAATAAATTAAAAGCTAGAGCTTATTTCTCCTTTGTGTATACTTACGGACAGAGGTCTTAGATCAGGAGAATTTCTAGGGTTCATTATATGCAGAGTTTCAGTTCTAGAAATAAAGGTACTCAAATTTCCTTGTTGATGCCCCCTTGGGCTGTCAAACCCTCAATCCTAGTCCATTACAGACTTAAGCGGATCGAGTTCAATTCGAGGGGACACATTTCTCTATACCTGACACGGAGAATAAATTCTCACGAAGACATAGAGCATATGAACCCCGAAAGTTACTTGCTAGGTCTGACACAGAGAATAAATTCTCACGAAGACGTCGCTTTCACTCCCACTTAAAAGGGACAAGCTTGATTATAAAACTTATGTTATGCAATTCAATTGTTGTGTGTGAGGAGAAATATTTAAACATTTGACAAACAATAAATAATAAAATTTAATATCTGAAAACAAAGTAAAAATAAAAATAAAAAAATATAATGAATATTATGAAAATCAAAAGTAATAAAAATTTGAAAGAATTAAAAATTAAATAAATGAATTTTTAATTTCTAATTAATAGAGACAATTTATAATTAATTTTAAAGTTTGACGTCCCCAGCAGAGTCGCCAAGCTGTCGTAACCGGTTTTCGTCCGGGCACGAAAATTTTACTTGGCGGGAAAAGTGATGTGAATAAATGGTTTTTTTTTTAAATAATTTGGGAGTCGCCATCGGCCTTTTGGGTCAGGTAGGTCGAATACCTAAAAATCATCTTTTAAAAGAGTTTTTAAGAAAACATCGATTAAAAGATAAACTGATATACGTTTTAACCAAAAATTCATTCTTTTTAATAATAAAAGGGATTTGTGGTCGGTTACGTTTAGGGAAGGATTAGCACCCCTACAACGCCCAAAATTGGTACTTTTTAACTATAAATTGTCTCTATTATTAAAACTTTAAAAATTCAAAATATATTTAATTTATAATCCTATTATTTCAAAATTATAATTATGGAAAATATTAATTTATATATTTATAAATAAAATATTTATTTATTTAGAAATATCAGAAAAGGGTTTCTAGGTGCCTTAAGATAGCTCTTTTCTTCGATATTAAAAAATATATAATTAAAATAATTAATATATGATTTAAAAAATAAAATATTTATTTATTTAAAAATATCAGAAAATGGACATCCAGTTGTTTTAAGACTGCCCTTTCTTAATATTGAAAAATAAATAAATATTAAAACATGATTAAAATAGGTTAAAAATAATTAAAGAAGTTTTTAATAAATAAAATAAATATTATTTATTAGATAAATATATATATTTATGACTAAATAATAATAATAATAGTAATAATAATTAAGAGTAAACATATAAATAATAAAATTAAAACTATATATAAAACTTGTAAAAAATAAAAATTGAAATTAGTGACTAAATTAGAACTTAATAGAATTAAATACCTAATTCGTGATTAATTATTTAAAATTACAGGGATTAAACATGCTATTCTCCTTATTTATTAATTTGGTGACTAAAATAAAAATTATATAAAATTCGAATATCAGATTAAAATAAATTAAAAATATGTACTCGAGATTAAAATATTAATTATTAAAATTAAAGAACTAAATATGATATTTACCCTAAATATATTATTTAATATAAAGGATTAAAATAAATAAAATTAAAATAAAGAACCGAATTATAAAGATCTAAAATTGGGTTCAGTGACTAAAATGTAAGGATTACAAATTAGGATGGCTGCGGAAAGGGTTTAACCTTTATGAAATTACACAGATACCCCTCCCCAAAACGGCGTCGTTTGGGAAAGGGTATAAATACCCTAAATGCCTGGCCCGAAGGGCCAAGCTTCCTCATTTCTCTCTTTCTCAGTTTCTCTCTAAAACAGAGAGAAGCATTTCTCTGGCTTCTCTCTAGGTTCCCTCACCGGAGGGAATCTGGTCGCCAGCCGGCAGCCACAAGGCCATTATCTCCGCCGCCGGCCACCGCATCTGGTGGCTGGAAAATTTTATTTTTATACCAGAACGTAGATCGGACCGTCCTAATGACGGTTCCGGTGTTCCTTTCTCTTAAATAGCTCCAAATCGGACCAAATCTAGGAAAATACCTTCGGTTTTTAAAGGTTTTTGGTGACGCTTGGAGGCCGGTGGTGACTCCGATTGAGGTGATGTCTTCCTCGGTAAGTTTCTCTGGCTCTTTTATTTTATTTTGTGGTTTGCTTTTTGTTTTCCTTCTTTTTTTTTGTTTTCTGTTCTTGCTCTCTTCTTTGCTTGCTGTGAGTTGTTGTCGTGGTTTTCTCCTTTCTTGCTTGTTGTCTGTGGCTGTCCCCCCTCCTCATTATTTTGCAGGTTCTCCATGGCTTTTATAAGCCTCGGCGAGACTCTCATCGGACCGGTTAAAGGAAAGGAGTTTGGTGAGTCACCGAGCTATGTGGTGACTCACCATAGAGCTCGACACGTGGAGGGGAAGCTGGCTTCTGGAGGCTTCTGGCGAGGCGGCGATTTCATGGCGTGGCACTGGCAGCTGGAACGTCTTGAAGCAGCGGCGGCTGAATGATAACCTAGGGTTATGAAACCCTAGGGCTTCATGCTGGTATCCTGTGGACCGTTGGATCTTTCAGATCCAACGGTTGATAGAAGCGGCGGCTGGGTGTATGGGATGTAAACCCTATAAGGGTTCAGGGTTACTGTTGGGCCAACTCTGTTGGGCCTGATTGATTGGGCCTGGATGGTTTGTATTTGGGCTTGTAATAATTATTTAATAATAATATATAATAATAATATTTAATAATAATAATAATTTTAATAATAATAATAATAATAATAATAATAATAATATTTATAATAATAATAATAATAAAAACAAAAATGGAAAAAAAATTAGTGTTTACAGATATTATATGGTTAAAGGTTAAGTTATGTTCAATGTATGTCATCTCTAATTTTAATATTATTATGTTCTGATTAAGTGAATAAGTGACTAGAAACATACTTGTATTGATAATTTAAGAAAAAAATGCAAGCACTTTAGCCCTTAAACCAAACCTTATATTCAATTAAATTAATGAAATTCAAAATTTAATTTTAAAAACTATAATATGTAGATAAATTTTAAAATAATATAAAAATTAACATATTTAAAATGGCAGTTTAGGGTTAAAAAAATTTTAAGTCAAGTTTATGAAATCACGACTCGAAATTAATTTGAGTAAGATTTTTCTCTGGGTTGTAAGTTCAATCCTCCATGGAAGCAAGATATATGTTTTAAAGGGTTTTGCTTATCAAATAAGGTGGTGACCCACCACCTTATTGGATGCAAAATAGAATAAATTAAAAATTAAAATTAATAAAATATCATCCAATCTGATAGTGATATATGTCACCATCAATTGGAGTGAATTAAAATTATGACTAAATTGATAGAATGTATAAACATTGAAGATCAAATATGTAATTATATCGATTTTATTAATAACGACGGCACTTCTGTTAACGACAAGTGGTTTGATTGAATGTATTTAAATAGTTGGGTGGTCTGATTGACAATGATTCAAAAATGGTGGTCAAAATAAAAATGGGCTATAGTTGGGTGGTTACTGGTATAGTTTACCTTCTTTTGTATTTAGTATTATTGATTTGGTATAACTTTATTATGCTAGCTATGTCACTTGGTGTGTAGGTCATTATGATGCTAAGTGAACTATATGGAGATTTGGTTATGTTGCATAAAAACAAGAAAAGAGTGTCCATAATATCATATGACTGCGTAAAGAAAGCAATCCATAGTTACTATAAGTACATATAGTTAGTACATCTATGCTTCATATGATAAGAATATGTTTTGGTGATGTTTGATGAGTATTTATTACTATGTCTAAGATGGTTATGATATGTTAATGCATTACAAAAATGTTTTAATATGCGTAAGCGATAAACTTATGTGATTGTAAGTATGTGACTCTCTTGTTGATGATTCAATGCATGTTGCTGTAGTTTGCTATATATTTTGATGTTAATTTTTTTATTTGAGTTTTTTTGTTGATTAAAACGAAAATTAGGTGTTTCTTAGGGTATTTAATGGAACATATGGTCCGTAGCTTTGTTCGGGATTCCAACAATATAAAGGGACGGATCTTATTAATTGGAATACGATACAGAGACCATTGGAAGTGGGAGGGGTAGACTTTAAAAGTTGAGAATGGCATAAAAATGCTTTTCTAATGAAAATCGGATTTCATCTATAATTTTATACCTGATAAATTATGGGTCGAGGTCCTTATGGCGAAGTATCATTGGAATGAAGACGTACCGACTACTTTGACAAATACTAAATTGTTCTTGCCTATGGAATGAGCACGTAATGGCCAAAAGACAGATTTTTGGTTGATACATGGCTTCCCTTAGGCTGCTAAGGCCTTAAATTCTAATGAGCCAGAGGATTTGATACGCAAAATCTTTGTGGTTAAGCTGCCACAAGAGGCATTAGGGGGCGATGCTCCTGGTCGGAAGTGGGATGAAAAGCAAAGGTTCTCAATAAAGTCGGCATATCCAACACTGTATTCCCAAGGTATGGATGAACGATGGAATACTATTAGGCGACTTGAAGTCTCTAAAGTGATCAAAATATAACTTCTGAAAGTTAAGTTGTCAAAGTAAAAAAAACGTTGAACAATAAAATTAATACAAGCATGAGACAAAAAGGGCTAATTTCTGCACCTTTCAGGTTAGTGAAGTTTATTAAATATCAAAATCCTGCAACCGTTTCTGAGTACATATAACGTGACTGGATTATATAGACCCTGACACGCATGCAACGCCTAATCTGGCTACATTACACCCAAGCTCACAATATATGTATATAGAACATTTATATAATATAGTCATCAGCTGTTGCTTTTCGATTTTCTATCATTCAAGAATAATCCCGCCCACTGCAAGCAAACACACAAAGAAAAGTGATATATTGTTTATAAATCATGATCAACCTGCTCCACACAGAGTACAGAATGCAGAGACTAGAACATGCACCGTGAACTACTGAGTTGAATCTCTCAGGTACACTTACACATATCGTACATCATAATACACAAAATCATCTTTACACCGCTCTTTCTCTCTGCTCCTTGCCGGTTAACCCGTAAAATCAGGTACCCGCTCAACGCAAGTATACATCATTCCATACATACCCAGTACTCGGGGAACTTGCACTTGTAAATAAAACACAAACTGCTGCCTAGTAGTAGTAGTTGTAAACTCTAATAATTGGGATATTTAGCCTCCTCCAGTATCGCAATGCTAACCAACATACAACAGAAAAGTACACTACTAGAAAACAAACACGCTTGATACGGGCTGTGTTAATGGCTTCAGGCAACGAAGACTTCATATGTTGTAGGATTCTAACTAAGATGATAGTGATTATAGATGTTGAAAAACCAGTGACAACACCTGCAATTGTTTCCCACCTCAAGTATCTAGCTCTCCCCCCACTTGAAAACCAAGACCGTAAAATCTTGGTGGATCTGATGCCATCAAAACAATGAATAATTAGAAACTGAGCAAAGCAGCATTTACTCATTAAGACATCAAAATAGACAAGTTCCACAAAGTGCCCTCCTTAACTATTCTGCAACTATGATAAGCAAAAATAACTAGCAAATGAGATTACTTCACATTAGCTAAATGATGAAAAATAAGGCATGAAAATGTCAACTGTAATCTAAAGCTAGAGAAATTATTCCATCGTTCGATTTTCACAAGTGCACTTCACTATAAACCCCTACCCTCTCTTTCACTTCTTTGCCTTTAACAGAGTCCATTACCTTCTTACAATTTTCAAGTCCTATCTCACTGGAAACCTATGTTCACATATTCATGTCCTCTCTTCCAAAATTCAGTAAGAGCTCTGCTGCCATTTTCCCAGAATACTATTCATTACATTCAAAACAGCATAACTTCAGCTTTGCACGCTTCATAAAATATAAACCACACACTTCCTCTATAGCCATAAAACAAATTTTCCACACCCAGATCCTCAAAATTTACAGAGGAAAACCATCTTTCTCTTGCTGTTGTAACCCTTATAAGGCTCGAAACAAAATGGATCTAATTTGTAATCCCGAGGGTAAATAAATAACTAGAAACCCAAGTTCAAAAATAGCAATGGACCAGAATGCAAGTCTGGTTCACCCCAACCAAACAATTTAACTACATGATAAGCACATTGTTGATAATAAGCCACTGAAAACAACATCCCACAACTATATAAAATAAAATGTAAAGAAAACGGGAAAAGGGACTCAAGTAATAAACTCACATTACTAGATATCGTTTCATCATTTCAATTGAGGATGGACCTTTTGCTTGGCAATTGAAAAAACCATCATCATACAACTTTACTGTGGAAATACCTAAAATATACCAGCAGTCATAGGTTTCATTAACCTGGAAAGAAGGATTTGTCAGATATATAAATATATATAATCACAATTAAAAAATTCAAAAATAAAAAACAAAAACCTTTTAATCAGCACATCATCATAAGGATTAAGGAACAATAGGAACTTGAAAAAAACTACCTTAAACTTATCTTTGGTCAACCATGCAGCACCAAAGTTAGGCCTGCAACTAAGAGGAAGGGCTTCATTCGGTGCCTCTGTTAAGGCAAGTTGCGTCTGACCCAAAGAATGGTCTCTGTACTCCACCTGCAATTGTTTTGCAGACAATAGTATAGAAATAGTGATATTTAGAGAACTTAATATTTGATGCCTTCCTATTTTCACAAATCTGATTAGTTTCAGTAATGCGACTAAATTACAAGATTTGGCAAATCCCAGAAACCGATCAATATATCTTACGAAAATAATCAATAAGAAAAGAAAATAATATGTAACAATGGAAAATAATTAAGACGAAACTGCATATTTGCCACAATTAAAGAACATCTATATTTTCCAAAATTATTTAAGAAAAAAAGGAGCCGGTGACTTAGATAAGATAAATTTTACCTTGAACACTGAGGTCCAGTAATAATCATATCGGCATCTAAATTTGCTTTTCTCGAAAGGATAAAAAACATGATTTGCCTTATAATTCAATAATCCAAGCTCGCAAACCTTAGTTGACCTAATATCTACACCTGATTTGAAATAATAAGAATTGCAAATAAATAACGATAACATGTGAAATTGTTAGTTACAGTTGAAAATTAAGCTAAAAGAGAGAGATTAAGTATGAGAAAGATAATCAAAATATTATAGAAAGAGAAGTCAAAGTTAGATAAGTAAAGAGAAATAGAGAGAAGCATACTACTAGAGACTATCTTGCACTGTGTGGGGACAGAAATAGGATTGGAAATTGATAGTTCTCCCATGAAAATGGCAAGCAATCCGACGAGAAAAGATAAGGAAAAGAAAGCGAAGATGGGGAATAGAAGGGAAAAAGCGATTCGAAGTAACACGTAGCGAAAACCCTTGTTTTCATTATCAGGGAGTTCTTGAGAATCCATACACTCAAGATCACAAATCAAAAGAAGCTAGATTATTTTCCAGTGGGTGATCCGGTCAACGGGACCATTTATCCGGTGATCGGAGACTTTTGTAGAGTCAGAACATAGAATAAATGAGAGCACGCTGCGCTAGGGATTCGTTGCCTCTTTATCTTTTCTTCTTCTTCTTTTTCGCTTCGAAGTGGAATTGGAACCGGAACATACATAAGCTTCTCCTTGATATATTAAAGGTATAATATCGGATTTGGTACCTGACTTTGATGAAATATAATGAATGCACTTTTAAAAGGACTATTGTGGATATAATGAGATTCAGTCGAGTTGAATTAAATTTTGAGTTATTTAAGTTGATAATTTTTATTTTATAACTTAAATTTTATTTAAAAATTTTCAAGTTAAGTCGAGTTTATAAAATTCGAGTTGAATCGAGTTGTTCAAGTTTTACTTTAAATTTAATTATAAATAATTATAATATTATAGTACTATTTAATTCTAATTTAAACGGTTTCTTATAACCATATACAATAAATATATATTTCTTTATGTTTTTCATATATGATATACATATATCATACAAAGTTGAAGGGTTCCACTCAAATTCCAAAATTAATTCACCAATTACTAAAACTTTCGAGTTATTTGAGTTCTATTATATAGCTCGATTTGGATTTAAATTTTTTCAAGTCGAATTAATTCGAACTAAATCTAATCGAAAAGATCAAATTTTGAATCGAGTTTTACTCGTCCCTCGTTCTAATGATGTTTTACTACCTCCATATGATAATCTAAAATTTTACTCAGCTTAATCTGTCGTTTTAGTTTTTTTCCCCTGCCAATTAATTAATCTTTCTTTGATTAGCCTCTTGCAGTTGTTTTGATCGATTTTATTGTTGGAAGAGTAGAAATGGAAAATCCAGTATTACCGATGGTGAAGAGGAATCCTTAGAAATCCAGAGAGAGCTGGAGGCTTTGGATGAAGATTACAAGTTGTGATGGAGAAGATTTTTTGGACTGCTAGCGTAGTACATTTCCCATCGATGAAAAATATCTTGATCGATATGTGGCATCCATTAGAAGGAATACTTTTTAATTTCCCATAGGCAACTTGTATGTTATTGAGCAGAACAAAGTCGGTAATGGACGAGGTCTCGTTAAAAAACCTCCTTAATCCTAATTGGAGGAAAAATAATACCCCGAAGCACAACTTAAACACACATATGTAAACAATCAAGGAGAATTATCAAGGGCCATCCTTAAGAAAACACTTTGAACATCAAACACCATCATCCAAAGCTACTCGAAAACCAAGTTCTCAGGCAATAGCCAATTCAGGGTAAAGCACTATAACCTTTCAACAAAGCACGTTTAGACACATGAACACTAAGCCAAAAGGTGGTTACCAACAAGATCCATTTGTAACATCGTGGTGACAAGCACTGAGCCAATAATCGGCTGCCAGTCGGATCCAAATGCAGCAAACGTGGTGACAAATTAAGGCACCCAACCTTACCTGCGGCCGAGGCACGACTATTAACGAGTCTTCAAAAATCTGTCAACTCGCGCCTTTTCAAGAAGACTTATCAAATGTTAACCAAACAGCAACCCACTGCAGCCGACAGTCTTTCACACATTAGTAATCCACACGAACGAATGTTCTCTACTTAGACCTTCTTGAGCAAGCCAATGTGCTTCCATATTTCGTTCTCCATAAACGAACTTGACCATCCATTTGTTTTCATTGCAATACTCAACAATTTTACGTACAACATCAACATGAACTGACGAGATAGAAGTGGGATTTACAATCCAATTAACAGCTGCATAACAATTAGATTCAATGAGTAAGCAAGAGTTGACCCATCTAAAAGCACCAAATAACTCACAGGCTTCGAGAATGGCCAAAAGTTCTGCCCCCGCCAGGTCGGCCAACCCAACTGGTCTAGAAAAACGAATCAGAGTGATACCATTATGGTCTCGGAGCAGACCCCCGATTCTGGCAAAACCAAAGCAATCCTTCACCGTCGCATCCACATTGAATTTTAGCTCGCCTGCCGAGGAGCAGACCATGAACCAACTGCTGGTCGCTGACTTAGCCTTTCTTTGAATGACACATTCGCAGGGCACCTGATGAACTCATTAATAGATACCAAGGATTTCGGCCAATTGCTTTTGCACCAAAACCCAATTCTAGTCAAGGCAAGATCAAACAGATGTGCTGCATTCCATAGCTTATTGTTGAAGATAGCTTCATTTCGGGATAGCCAAATGGTCCATACAATACCCGAGAAGGCCAATCTCCAAAGAGATTTTAGGGACGATTTAATTAGCAAATAATCTCACATCAACAACAAAGCGTCAAGGAGCTATGACATACCAGATTAATATTCCAGCAGCAACACCAGGAATGCCAAACTTTCCACACAACCACACATTGGCAGAATAAATGAGAGGACGTTTCTAGATGGTCTTTACAAAAGATGCAATGGCCTAAGTCCAAGTTACAGACACCCTGTTTTAAGAGCTCGTCGCGTACTGGAATATGATTATGGACCGCTCTCCAAACAAAAAACTCGTTCTTAACGGGCACCAAATTTGCCCAAACTAAATCTCCAATATGGTCTTCGATATTTCTCTCTGGAAAAATCTTTTCGTAGAACGTTTTTGGCTGATAATAACCTGAAGAAGTACCAATCCATCTAACACTATCGGACTTACCACTGCTCATTGAAGCTTTGTTAAGGGTATTCATGAAGCTACTCCAGCATTCCTTTTTCCAATCAAAAATCCTTCTCCTAATTGTAACAGACTAAACCCAAGTACCATTGAAACAATTCCCAAAATCACTCACTTTTCCTTCTTTTTTTAATGCTAACGCAAAAATACGAGGAAAGTCTACTTTTAATGGTGGGGACCAGCCCAGCTGTCTTGCCAAAAATCAATGAACCGACCGTCACGTAGTACCAACTGCAGGTTGCTATTGAAAGAATCTGTTGGATCCTGGATTGGTTTGACAATACTCCTCCAGATCCAGTAAGCGCGACTATTTGAGTGAAATTTTGTAGTTAAACACCTTGACAAATCCCCCATTTTACCATCGATCACACGCCTCCACAAGTTGTTTGATTCCGACCCCATATCTCCATAACCCCTTATTAAGAAGTGAAACGTTTCGGACGTTGACATCAAGAAGACCAACCCCCCAAGTCTTTTAGGTTTGGCCATTTGCTCGAACACACCCAGTGAATCGCACTCTTGTCGTTAGCTCCCCAAATGAAACTAGCCACCATCTTGTTCAACTTTGAAGCGATTGTCGCTGGAAGTTTAAAAAGAGAGGTATAAAAGATAGGGAGGTTTGAGAGCACAGACTTAGCCAATGTTAGTCTCCTAGCGAACGAAAGTAATTTGCCCTTCCACCCATCGAGCCTGGATTGAACTTTGTCAATAATAGGTTGCCATATTGCTAAAGAATTTCGACTTTGACCCAAAGGGAGTCCAAGATACGATGTCGGGAGAGCCTCTATGTCACAGCTGATCCACTCTGCCCAAGTAGGCAAGTTGGTGCTATTAGTATTAATGCCAAACAACTGTCTTCCTCATGTTGAGTTTTAAACCCAAGGCAAGCTCAAATATTCTTAGTACTCTTTTAGTATTAACTATAGTACGTTCTGAAGCCTCCACGAACATCAATAAAATCGTCGGCGAACTGAAGATGTGTCACTTCAAGACCCTCTGATTCTACTGACACACCTTTGAGTATCCCAATCCTAGCCGCTTTCGTGATAAGGACGCTAAGTGCTTCACCCACAATATTGAAGAGGAAAGGCAATAGCAGACAGCCTTGGCGCATACCTCTCTTGATCCTAAAAGTACTTGATGGACAACCATTTATTAGGACAGAAGCAGATACAGTAGATACACATTGATTCATCCAGATGCGCCATCTAGACCCAAACCCCATAAGGTGAAGACAAAGATCCAAAAAAGACCAATCAACTGTATCGAACGCTTTTTTGAAGTCTGATTTGATCATAATTGCTTCTATGTTGCTCATTTTCAAGTAATCTATTGCCTCATTCGCTATAAGGGTACAATATGATATTTGTTTACCTGAAATAAAAGCAAACTAAGTATCCCTCATAGTCTCGCTGAAACAACTCTCCAACCTTCTTGATAAGACTCGGGCAATAATTTTGTACAAGCAATTTTTGGATAAATCAATCAAATTCATTACCCAAAGAACAAGTCCAATAGTAAGAACAGAACATGCTACAAAAACAACAGTGTTTGATTACAAAAACATTCTGCTTACAAAAAGAATCACGAACATGTAATATTCCAATGTTTACAAAGGGTAGAATTAACACTGTCATTTCTATATATATCCTTGAAGTTGAACCACATCCTTAATGGCAAGGAACAACTCTTGGACATTTCTAGAGTGGCCTTGAAAAAGCCTCTTGTTTCTTTCTTCCCAGAGGAAGTAGATGGGGGCATTGAGGGCAAGCTTCATAATCGAAGTTAGTAGAGATTTACCTTTCCAAGTAGAGCTTGCCCACACACAAAAAAGCATCCTAAGAGGTGATGGAAAATTGCAGACCAGAATGAGAGAAAACAGAATTCCATAATTGATTTGCCATAGGACATTGGAGGAACAAGTGCTCCCTTGTTTCCCAAGGAGCATTGCAGAATAGACATTGACAGTAATTGATAAGCCCCATTTGGTGAAGTCTCACCTTTATAGAAGTCTATCAAGTAATGCCATCCAAGTAATCAAACTGTGTTTAGGTATGTGAAGAGGGAACCAGATAATTTTTTGCCAGTGAACTTGGTATCTCTTATCACGAATAACATCCTAAATTACAAATATTTTCATTGCTCCAGCAGATAAAATTGAAGAAGCTTCGGTTCTCAGTTTAAAAATATGCCTTAAGTTCCAGCTACAAGAGGACTGAACATTAAAATTCCAGAAATTGTTGTCTTAAGAACATAGTGTTTGATCCATGCAACCCATAGAGAACCTTCACCTGCTAAAAAATATTTTTGATACGGATGATCATACAAGCTTTATTCCAAGTCTTCAAATCTTTAAGACCAAGCCCTCCCTCAGATTTTATAAGACATATGTCTTCACCTTTCCAGAA